GGCAGCCATGTAAATTTAAATGAAGCCGCGATTATTTAAATCGCGGCTTCATTTCCCTTTGCCGAACAAACAAATCTACATGGCTCCGTCGACGGAGCCATGTAGTTTAGATGTACCCTTAGATACCTCCTCTATCAGCCCCTTGAGTAATCTAGGATGCATTTCATCAGGCCAAAGTGACTGGAAGACACCTAATTTGTCTAAGCTGAAAAAAAATCTAAGAAAAAAACCAACAATGTAGTACCTTACAGTCCAGCAAAAAATGTAGATGATTTTATGAGCTTTCAAGGGAACATTTACCTTTATTGTGTGTCTAGACTACAGGGTTTTGTCGACAAAAGTGGGCTTTTGTTGACAAATCTATACCTGTGTCGACACTGCCGCTGAGTTCTGTCGACATAATGTCGACAGAACTCGGCAGTTTTGTCGATGGCGGTAAACCTCATTCTACGAGGAATAACGCCTTTTGTAGACAGAGTTCTGTCAACAGAAGGCGTTATTGCATCTACACTGTCCTTTGAGTCTACACTCTCCTGTCGACAAAGGGGCTTGCTTATTGTCGACAGAACTGGATGTCGTCTAGACGCTCTTTGTCAACAGAACCTTTGTTGACAGTATTTGTCCACAAAGCTTCTGTCGACAAAAGCCTATCGTCTAGACGTACCCTGGGGTGCTGTATGACTATTCAATATCTTTTTAAAAAAACTTTCTCTAAGCAATTTTAACTTGTTCTTTTCCTATTTAAACTTCTAAACCTCCCCCATTTCCACTAGCAGTCACTGTGTTAGGAATCCCATTACCATCAACCCTCTTGGTGAAGACCAAAACAAAGAAATCGTTAAGCTTTTCTGCCACTTCTACATTTTCTATTATTGTTTCTCCCTCCCTACACTGTCCTCAGTCTTCCTCTTGCTTCTAATATATTTATAGAATGTCTTCTTGTTCCCCTTTATGTTGCTAGCTAGTTTGTGCTCGTTTTGTGCCTTTGCCTTTCTAATCGTGACCATGCATGGCAGTGTTGTTTGCTTATATTAATCCTTTGTAATTTGGCCTACTTTCCACTTGTTCTGTGACTCCTTTTTGATTTTTAGGTTTTGCAAAATCTCCTGGTAAAGCCAAGAAGGTCTCTTGCCAGACTTCCTATCATTCCCACGCAGCGGAATAGTTTTCTCTTGGGCCCTTAAAAATGTCACTTTGAGAAACAGCCAAGTGCCTTCAATGGTTTTTCCTCTTAGCCTTGTTTCCCCTGGGACCTAACCTACCAGCTCTCTGAGCTTACCAAAATCTGCCTTCCTGAAATCCATTCTCTCTGTTTTACTGTGCTCCCTTCTACCATTCCTTATGAACTCTGATTTCATGGTCACTTTCACCCAAGCAGCCTTCCACTTTCAAAACCTCAACCAGTCCCTTCCTCTCAGGTTCCCCTCCCCTCTGAGACCCCCCGAAACTTCTCCCCACTGCCCTGTAGGCCTCTCTCTGTCTACTCATCCCTTATAGGCCTCTCTCTGTCTACCCTACCCATTCCTCTGCCCCCAAAATTCCCTCTCTGCTTTTCCCACCTCACTTTCCCCCCCACACCATGTGCCCACCTGTGCCACAGCCTTTCCCTCGGTAGCCAGCACCCCCTTCCCAGCCTCTCCCCATGCCCTGCCCTGCAGTACTCACCCCAGGTCACCCTCAGGGGGGTGTTCCCCAGGCTGCTGTGTCTCACCACACACACGTGCTCTTCGGGGCCGGCTCCCTCCTGTCCCAGCTCAGTGGACACCTGGATCTGGAAAGTGGGGTCCCCGTTGGGTTGGATCCCACTGCTCAGCTGCTCCCCCTGATCCCGCTGCTCCCAGGTCACCTCAATGGAGGGCGGGTAGAACCCCGTCACATGGCAGACGAGGCGTCGTGGCTGGGTCTGGTTCCCTGGGATGAGGGCCACACGGGCTGTGGGCCGGGCTGGGTGGCAGGGAGAGAAAGGGTCATCACTACATGGCTCCGTCGACGGAGCCATGTAGTTTAGATGTACCCTTAGATACCTCCTCTATCAGCCCCTTGAGTAATCTAGGATGCATTTCATCAGGCCAAAGTGACTGGAAGACACCTAATTTGTCTAAGCTGAAAAAAAATCTAAGAAAAAAACCAACAATGTAGTACCTTACAGTCCAGCAAAAAATGTAGATGATTTTATGAGCTTTCAAGGGAACATTTACCTTTATTGTGTGTCTAGACTACAGGGTTTTGTCGACAAAAGTGGGCTTTTGTTGACAAATCTATACCTGTGTCGACACTGCCGCTGAGTTCTGTCGACATAATGTCGACAGAACTCGGCAGTTTTGTCGATGGCGGTAAACCTCATTCTACGAGGAATAACGCCTTTTGTAGACAGAGTTCTGTCAACAGAAGGCGTTATTGCATCTACACTGTCCTTTGAGTCTACACTCTCCTGTCGACAAAGGGGCTTGCTTATTGTCGACAGAACTGGATGTCGTCTAGACGCTCTTTGTCAACAGAACCTTTGTTGACAGTATTTGTCCACAAAGCTTCTGTCGACAAAAGCCTATCGTCTAGACGTACCCTGGGGTGCTGTATGACTATTCAATATCTTTTTAAAAAAACTTTCTCTAAGCAATTTTAACTTGTTCTTTTCCTATTTAAACTTCTAAACCTCCCCCATTTCCACTAGCAGTCACTGTGTTAGGAATCCCATTACCATCAACCCTCTTGGTGAAGACCAAAACAAAGAAATCGTTAAGCTTTTCTGCCACTTCTACATTTTCTATTATTGTTTCTCCCTCCCTACACTGTCCTCAGTCTTCCTCTTGCTTCTAATATATTTATAGAATGTCTTCTTGTTCCCCTTTATGTTGCTAGCTAGTTTGTGCTCGTTTTGTGCCTTTGCCTTTCTAATCGTGACCATGCATGGCAGTGTTGTTTGCTTATATTAATCCTTTGTAATTTGGCCTACTTTCCACTTGTTCTGTGACTCCTTTTTGATTTTTAGGTTTTGCAAAATCTCCTGGTAAAGCCAAGAAGGTCTCTTGCCAGACTTCCTATCATTCCCACGCAGCGGAATAGTTTTCTCTTGGGCCCTTAAAAATGTCACTTTGAGAAACAGCCAAGTGCCTTCAATGGTTTTTCCTCTTAGCCTTGTTTCCCCTGGGACCTAACCTACCAGCTCTCTGAGCTTACCAAAATCTGCCTTCCTGAAATCCATTCTCTCTGTTTTACTGTGCTCCCTTCTACCATTCCTTATGAACTCTGATTTCATGGTCACTTTCACCCAAGCAGCCTTCCACTTTCAAAACCTCAACCAGTCCCTTCCTCTCAGGTTCCCCTCCCCTCTGAGACCCCCCGAAACTTCTCCCCACTGCCCTGTAGGCCTCTCTCTGTCTACTCATCCCTTATAGGCCTCTCTCTGTCTACCCTACCCATTCCTCTGCCCCCAAAATTCCCTCTCTGCTTTTCCCACCTCACTTTCCCCCCCACACCATGTGCCCACCTGTGCCACAGCCTTTCCCTCGGTAGCCAGCACCCCCTTCCCAGCCTCTCCCCATGCCCTGCCCTGCAGTACTCACCCCAGGTCACCCTCAGGGGGGTGTTCCCCAGGCTGCTGTGTCTCACCACACACACGTGCTCTTCGGGGCCGGCTCCCTCCTGTCCCAGCTCAGTGGACACCTGGATCTGGAAAGTGGGGTCCCCGTTGGGTTGGATCCCACTGCTCAGCTGCTCCCCCTGATCCCGCTGCTCCCAGGTCACCTCAATGGAGGGCGGGTAGAACCCCGTCACATGGCAGACGAGGCGTCGTGGCTGGGTCTGGTTCCCTGGGATGAGGGCCACACGGGCTGTGGGCCGGGCTGGGTGGCAGGGAGAGAAAGGGTCATCAGTGACGGGCACTGGGAGAGAAGGAGGCTGTAGGTTGGGTCTGAGGAGCTCCAGCGGATCTCTCACCTGTCTTCTGAGCGATGAAACTCCTGGTGGCCTTGAGCAAGGCCGCGCATCGCTGCAGGCTGATGTGACTTATCACAGGATTGCTCCCCCCTCTCTGGTTCAGGCGCTCGGTCAGTGGCCAGGCCGCCGGATGCACCGAGATCCAGCGGTTGTGGTTCCCCAGGTACTGCAGCATGTCCTCCCCGTTGAGGGCATAGCGGGTGATGGCTCTGATGACACGGGTGGCATCGTCCAGCTCACAGTTCTTCAAAACTTGCATGTAGTACGGCTCTGGAGGGCAGAATGGACGCCTGACCTCAATTTGCACCAGCCAGATGTAGGAGACGGGTAAGTTCTCCCATGCAAGGGACCGAGGAGTCCTACACTCCTACACACACAGAGCCCACCAAACCCTACGTCTCTCTGTGAGTTGGGAATAGAATTGAAGTGTTCTAGTTCCCAGCCTCCTTTGCTCCAGCTGTGGTGGGTTGTCTCACGGAGACCCCCTTGAGACCAAGCCCAGCCCCAGAGATTGTGGGGCCCGTCGGACGGTGGATGCTCTAGTTTAAGTCAAACCCATTCGAGGTCATCTGCGGAAGTGGGTTGTGACCATGAAAGCTCATGATACTCGAAATAGTTTTGCTCCTTCCTTAGGCTTTGTCTACACCACACATTTCTGCGGCAGAAAATAGGCTAACGAGAGACTCATTAGCATGAGTTGCAGCATTGTTAGCACATTTTCTTCCATTTCTTTTTGCACGAAAAGAAGCCGTGTTGCTACTTCCATTTAGTGCAAAAAGCCTATTTTGCATAAGATCCTTATGCCTCTCAGGGACAGGTAAACTTCCTTGCCGGCACAGCCCCAAATTTCTGCACCAACATCCGTGACTCGGTACAAACATCACCCACCCTTGCAAGTTTGCTGCATGCTAGAATTTACATGACATGTAATTTACCGGAGTGGACGGGCCCGGCGGGATACCGGGAATTTCCCGGTGAGCTGTCGTCCAAATGGACTGTCACATTCTCCAGGCTTATTTTGATTCCCAGTCTGCCTCTGTCTAGCTCCTTCCTGCTCAGCTCTGCAGCCCATGCTGGCCCCTCAGCAGCCACAGCAGGAAGCCATAGAATCATGGAACTGGAAGAGCCCTCAAGAGTCATCAAACCCAAGGCAGGACCAACCCCAACTCAGTCAACCCAGCCAGGGCTTGGTCAAGCTGAGACTTCAACACCTCTAGGGATGGAGATTCCACCCTCTCCCTAGGGAACCCAACCCAGGGCTTCCCCACCCGCCTAGGGAAATCGTTTTTCCTAATCTCCAACCTAGACCTCCCCCGCTGCAACTTGAGACCATTACTCCTTGTTCTGTAGCTCCCCCAGGACCCAGCCCAGCTCCCTGCTCGCTCCTGAGACCTGGTGAGTCAGGGTGGGGAGCGGCTGAGAAAGTTGCAGGGACTTTCTGGCCTGAGAAGTTGGGTGGAGGAAGGGAAAGCAAGGGAGACCAGGAAGGTACAGGGGAGCAATGGGGGCAAGTAAGATCCGGGTTCAGGGGACAAGTTGAGGCTGGGTTAGGCCAGGAGGGCTTTGTCCTCAAAATAAGCATGTTTGGAGTGAAACCCTTTCCTGCTGCTGCACCCAGCATCGGGGAGAGGGAGGAGGAGCTCTCGCCCCACAATGCTCCTGGATCACTGCAGCCCAAGCAGAGAGGAGGAACTTCAGAGATGCTGAAGCACAGATCTCAGCTTGGGAGCCGTGCACTGGGGTGGAGGGGGAACGCAGGGGAGCTCCTGCAAGTGACTGTGTCCTGCACTGCAGAGGAAGGTGCAAAATCCCCAAGGGTCTTTTACTGCTCTGACCTGGGGCAAAATTCCTTTCTGCCCCCAAGTTTAAATCCTGCACTGGTGGGCAAAACATACCAACCACACACCTCAGAGAATCCTTTCTCTGGTAACTCAGCACTTGATGGTAATGTTTTCACTAGCTGGTTCTTGAGCAAGAAATATGCAAATGAGGCAAAGCGTGGAATATCGCCAAGCCTCATTTGCATCCCTAATGAGACGCCCTGGTGTCTATTAAAACATTTGGCCAGTCCTCCCAGTATCAAACAGACTGAAAGGCTCATACTGAAGGGCACTGTTTTCATTTTGGAGGTGATTGTGCGACTTTCTGTAACTTCAGGCATTGTCAGCACGGGTCAAGATGACTATGTCAATGACATGTTTCAGAAAGACTTGTTGTTGATATCCCCCCATCGGCACCCCACAATCTGTCCTGCTGCACCAGGAGCTCCAGTCTTCTACAGCGATGGCCTAGAGTTGAGGTCACACCAACCACAAGACTCCTGCATCTCAGCCCCTTCCCCCAAGTTAACAGCTTGGTACTAAGGAAGTCCCTCCCCCTCACGTCCTTTCTTCCACCTCCCCCTTCACTCCTTTGAGCTGCCAACCCATCCCTTCCTGTGCTAAGCCTGGGCCCCAGGGACTCACCGGCCTGTGGGGCGCTGGTGTTCACCTCCCGCACCAGGATCTGATATGTGGTCTGCATCCAGGAGTCCCAGGACAGGCACTGAGTGCTGCTCTGATTCCAAAAGTCCTGCCTGTCCTGACTGTAGCTGTTGCGAGGAACTAGTCTGCCGCTGTCGCTGTCATAGACGGAGAGCAGCAGGTCGTCCACCCTCAGGGCACTCAGCCTCTTGAGCAGACCAGGGGCCGCCTGCGGGGTGACGAGCTGGAGAAAGGAGAGACGGTGCAGCCCTGCAGGAAGGAGAGAGATTGGGCTGGAGAAAGTGCCCTGAGACTGGGCTGAAACAGGGTCCAGGCATCCAGCAGCACAGGGGTCGCTTACCTGCTGAGGTGATGGAGCAAAAATGCAGGATCCAGGAAGACACCAAGAGAGTGTTGGCCCAAGGAGCCATGCCCCAGGGGGTCAGGATGGCAGCTCTATGGGGTGGGGCTAAGGTCTGGACCCAGAGAGCTGGGGATAGAACAGCAGCCTGCCTGTTACTGGGCTCTCCGCTGCTCTGACAGGAAACTCAGTAGGGGAAACCCACACCCAGAAACTGAGAAAACATCAAGCAAAATAAATCCACCACCCCCCGCCTCGCTCGCTAATTCACCGGAAGCCTGGCTCCCCACTTGCACAATTAACCGTTTCCAACTCCAGCTGTGTAATAGTGGCAGGAGCATGCTGCTAAGAAAACAGTCCCCTTGGCTACCTTCCTTCCTAGCAACAGAAATTCTTCCCCTGTTCAAAAAATCCTGCGACGTTTCATGTCAAAACCGAAACTGTTCCTGCAGTGCAAAGGTGGCTTGGGGGTAGGGCTATGCCCCAGTAGAACGACCGGATGAGCAAAACTTATTGCTAGAAACCAGAACATTCCCAAGTAAGCCTGCCACACCCCACCACGTCTCCACCTTCCACAAGTAAAATGTTGAACCCCGTTACTGGAAGCTGCAAACGGACAGATCTACAGACGCTCAGCCTCTCTTTACAAGCTGCACCCCAAATTTGAAACCCCGTGCTTTATTGCACACAACGTTCATGCTTTGTGTACAAGGCAGCTTTCATTGTGTTAACAGGAAGCGGTTTTCCTTGGCTTTGCTCATGCTGGGCACACAGCCAAGGCCGTGATAAGAGCTTCCTGATTCTCAAATATCTTTCAACCATGTAGTAGCAGCAGTTTTCAGTTTTGCTGTAGCTACAACAAATATACAATATAAACTATAGTACGCCCACATCCTGAATACTGCATACAGCAAGGATAACACCCCGCTAGCCCTCCTTCCCCTAAGAACAAAGGGTATGTCTACACTGCCACCCTAGTTTGAACTAGGGTGGTAGTGTAGACATACCCAAAGAGATATTATACCCCGCCCAGCAAAAAGCCATCATTTGGGCATAACCTCCCCATCGCTCTGAGCTCCTAGGCATGGTGGGTGTGTTCATGCAAATGAGGTTGGCTTCTGTAGTGCACTTCCCCCATTGGACCACTAGATGTCAGAAGAAAACAGAGACAAACTCGATGGGTAGCATGGTTTACAGGCCGGTTGCCCGAGGAAGGACGGTGCATTCCCACGAACCGTGACGTGTACAAAACAAATGGACAAAACAACTACAAATACGGTTTAATTAAATTTAAGGGTCTGTCTAGACTACAGGGTTTTGTCGACAAAAGTGGACTTTTGTTGACAAAACTATACCTGCGTCCACGCTGCCTTTGAGTTATGTCGACATAACATCGACAAAACTCAGCAGTTTTGTTGACGTATGTAAACCTCATTCTACGAGGAATAATGCCTTTTGTCGACAGAGTTCTGTCGATAGACGGCATTATTGCATCTGCACTGTCCTTTGCGTCCACACTGTTATGTCGACAAAGCAGCTTGCTTTGTCGACAGAACTGGATGTCGTCTAGACGCTCTTTGTCGACAGAAGTTTTGTCGACAGTATCTGTCGACAAAACTTCTGTCAACAAAACCCTGTCGTCTAGACATACCCTAAGTAAAGCCCCAAAGAGGCTCCAACTAGGCCTCACATCGGTTGCCTTTTCGCTTTCCTGCTGCTGTGTTCCTTGGCTCTGAAACCCACCTGGGGCCACATCCATGAATATAAATATGGAGTTTACCATTAGGTAGCGCATAACACCCCCTACCCTCCCCACTCCCCGTCTACTCAGTTCCCTCCTTTAACGCCAATCTCCATGTTTCGAGGGGCAGTCTGTTGATTCTTTATTTTCTTCCCGTGTGGATTTATTTGGCTTGGCCTCCCCTTCCCCTTGCTCCTTCCGCAGGCTGGCGGCTTTGGAGAAAAATTCTAACCCAAGAATCACCCCCACTTCTTTGCTTCTGAGTTGAGGATTCCCCCAGAATGACACATACACGCCCGTGTGGATTTATTTGGCTTGGCCTCCCCTTCCCCTTGCTCCTTCCGCAGGCTGGCGGCTTTGGAGAAAAATTCTAACCCAAGAATCACCCCCACTTCTTTGCTTCTGAGTTGAGGATTCCCCCAGAATGACACATACACGCACGGGTCACCCCCTTTTTCCTCCTGGGGTTACTCCCTTATGAACCTGGGCACCTGGCGGGTTTCACATTACAGGAGACCCTGCGTACCCCAGGGGGGATGTTGGATAGCTGGGGATCCCCTCTGTACCCCCTTGCGCCTAATGGAATATACCACGGCAATGCCGTCACCTGTCCACACTGACTGGTGCTCCTTGGGAGCCTCCAGGAATCAGCTTATTCCAGGAATAATCTGGATCTCACTCAGTCACCTCAATGTGGCCGGAGTAGAACCCCGTCATGTGGCAGACAAGGCAGCACGGTCGGGCCTGGGTCCCTGGGACGAGGGCCACACAGGCTCTGGGTTGGGTTGGGCTGGGGAGGGGAGAGAGGGTTACCTATCCCTGGGTCTGGGAGAGCAGGGGGCAGCGTGTCAGAACTGGGGGGCACCAGTGGGGGTCTCACCTGTCTTCTGAGTGATGAAACTCTTGGTGCTTTTGGTCAAGGCCACGCATTGCTGGGGAAAGAGGGGAGGGGCCTCCCCATAGCAAAACTCTCCCGTTCCTGGTTCCAGCGCTCAGCCAGTGGCCTGGCCCCCGGGTGCACCGAGAACCAGCGGTTCTGGCCTGACTGGGACCGCAGCACATGAGGGAAGGGGAGGGAAGAGATGCTCCCTGACTGATTTTTTCAGTGGGTCAGCAGCCCCCACCCCATAAAAGATTGCTCAGCCCTGCCCTACATCCAGGGACAGAGCCTCCGAGTCCTGGATCTCCGCCCCTTCTCCACACTAACTAGGGAAGTCCCTCGTCTTGGATGTCCCCTCCCCCAGCTCCCGCCTAGCTCCTTTGAGCTGCCCGACCACCCCATAGCTGAGCCTTGTGATGGGCCCCAGAGACTCACCTGCAGGGCGCTGGCGTTCACCTCCCGCACCAGGGCCTGGTACATGGTCTCTACCCAATCAATCTGTAGAGTGTAACTGAGTTCTATTAACCACACTGTGTAAATTGCATAATCTTGTGTTGTGTAGTGGTGTGGTATTTAGGCCAAGCATAAGTGTTAAAAATAGTAACCCAGGAGTTAAGTTGTAAAAATAGATTTATGATTAACTTTTGTTAAAAATAGTAACCCAGGAGTTATTAAGTTGTAAAGATAGATTTATGATTAACTTCGGCAGCTGCCCCATTGAGGAGCTGGCTGTGGACGGAGGTTTTATTATCATTATATTGGCTTTGTTTTTGTATTTTTTGCTTGCATGCTGCGCCACCTTAAGTGAATTAGAAACAGTGATTTGGTCTAGTTGAATTGTAATCAAAGAAGTTTGTAATTAGTTAAGTATAGCTAAGTTGAGGTTTTTCCGCCCTGTATAAGCCTTAGGTAATTGCTTGTTTTTTTAAATCATTTGAAAGTTATATGGTTTTGATAAAAGAATCATTCCATTGAATAAAAAATCTTTTGTTTCACCATCATCCAGTAGTTTTCACTGGGTAGTCTCACACTCACTTGTAATCTTGCCGTGACTAACTCTATTGTATATTGGACCCCAAAGGGTGTGTTTTAGCTTGATGTGCTTGGGGGCCTCCCAGGACAGAGCAGGAAAGCCAGTTTTCCTTGGTCAGTGATGACCGAGACTTCAGAGGGGCATCTCCGTGAGCTCCCCCCCCTCCCGCACCACGTCCTGGAAGGGCTTCACCCCACACTGTGAGGAAGAAGTCCCACCCCTCGGCCTGCACTGAGCATGCTCCAGGGGTTGTGCGGATATAAAAGGGAGCTCAGTCAGGGCTGACCATGGGAGAGGAAGGACCGCTGACCCCAGCTGCGGAAGCATCGCAGCCCTAGCTTGTGGGAGCCGGAGATCCTGAGGTCTGCTCCTGAGATCCGTGGCCGGCAGAACTCCAGGGAATTAGGTGTGAGGAGGGGCCCAGAGACTTGGGTACCACCTGGACGGTGTCTTCAGGCAGCGTGGTAGGACGTGACCCAAGGAGAGTGAGCAATTGGCATCTCCCACCCATGTGAGGTGAGTTTCCCTGGAATTCCCAGCTAGCCCAGTGGCAGACCTCTAGAGCACTCATAGGGGCCATGCTCAGGGTCCGGTAGAGTTGGGCCCCTCTCTACCAGAAGCCATCCCCATCCTCTGGTGGCAGCTCCTCTAGGCCAGCCATGAACCCTGCATGCAGAAAAACCAGGTATTCTTTATCAGATGTCGTTCAACAGCCACAGCCCTATACTTCCTCGCTGAGATGCAAGTATGGGATAAATAATATGACCTCGGTTCTCAGCTCTGTGGGAACATTGAGAGAGGCATTGAGCTAGTGCGTGCACACTTGATAAACAGCTAAGATATAAGATCACTGGCAGTCCTGCCCCTTAGGACTCTCACCAGGGACCTAGACCTTGGAGGGAGCCCTGGATTCCCCCAGCTGGAGGTAGGTCCACTGCAACGTGGTGTGAGGTCACTCAGCTCCTCCAGGCCCAGGAAGAGTCTGAGGATTTCTCATTTCCCCCCTGTATCCGATCTCCCCCTCCTCCAATTCCCATGTTTATTTCAGGTTTCCCCCCATCCTCTCCACACCAGCAGGCTTCCTCCGATTTGGCTTCTTATGCCTCCACTTTCACCCTCCTGTGCACCGTGAATCCCGGAGAAAACAAAGGAAATTCAACCCGCATAGCTCACAGATCAATTCTTTATTTCAGGCATCACAGTTTCGTTGCCTGTTGGCCATTGATTCAAGCCCCCGAGCAGCAGCCAGGCTGACAGCAGACACAGAAACAGAAACAGACAATCAAATCACGTGTCTTGGGAAAGTGATTTGCAAACAAGCTGGGATGAGCTGGGTTTGCAATCCGGGAGCAGGGCCCCAGGGACCACTAAGCATTGATTTGAAAGGATCGATTTGGCCCCCTTAGTTGCCAGGAGGCCGGCACAAGATTCAAGTCAAGATGCTCTCACTTAAAAATTAGTATTTGCCAAGCCTAAATATAGTATACTTGGAAGTTTCAAGGTAGCCCAAGGGAATTAGACACCCTCCTCACCCTTAGAATCTGAGCATGCCTAGAAATAATGGCAGGTCTCTGAACTCCCTAAGCAAACCTTGTGTTCCCATGGGACAGGACAGTGTAGCTAGGAAGGAACCAGTCCTGGCTCCAATACACGACCTGGTGATCAGCTGGCTGCTCTTACAGACCAGCTGGGTGTCCCTCTTCCAGGATTGCTTCTTTGGGGTATTTCCTGTCAGACCAAGCCAAACCCACAACACTCTGTCTCACCAGGACCAGGAAATGATTAAACCCACATTTCACCTTCAAACTTG